TGGTATCCCTATCTCTTAACAAATCAAACATAAGAGGTTGATAAGAGTTCTTTTTTAAAACAAACAAGGCCCGAGGAGCCGTTCACCAAATGCTTACTTGGGTAAGTGTTTACCAAGTCACATTACATTTTGAATGAATACAACAAGGACCAAGAATCTTACCCGGTAAGAGCGAAAGCAATGATCGAGAGTCTTGCATGGTAAGTGATGGCAACGACTCTTACCTCAATTAGCATTTACTGGGTAAATTGTTACATACAATGTTGTTTTGGTGGAATGATTACTCAGTATGTAAGCGATAGTGTTGAATTTTACCAGTAACGAGAACGGCCCCTTAAGACTCTCGTTACTTCTTATGCCTTTTTCGGATAGGATTTTTGGTCTTTATCATGCTCAATTGATAAGATAAATGATATCTGATAAATATTGCAAAGAGATATTTATAAATTTTATGAAATAAATAAATACTTATTTTGTGGTGTAGACCACGACCACCAACCACAGTGACAAAGACTTGTGATTTGTTTGATTGACGTAAAATGTGACAATATATTATTATTTTTTATTTATATAAATTGTTATTTTATTTAATAAAATAAATATAAAACAAAATTTATTAATTTTGTCTATTTTATTTTATTTTATTTTGTTCCACTTAGTTTCATGCGACAGAAATGCCATGTTTAATGTATAAAAAACATAACTGTTTTTTATGATTTTATTACGACAAACAAAATAAGACAGCGATGAATCTTTAAGAACATCTCTCAAGTTTTTTCATAGATTTTTTTAAAAAAATTCATAGATTTTTCTAAGGAGTTATTTGTTTACCTTTTAATAATTCTATTAAGAGGTAGTCTCTGAATCGCTAAGAGGTAAATCTTGTTCGGCAGAAAAAAGTTTGTCTCTTAATGGTTTCAAAGCGTTCTGAATGATTTGTATCTTGAGTCTCCCTTAACCATTCGGCGTCCTAATTTCACTCTGAACAATTATCAAATAATTATATTTACACCATAAGAGTCTCTTAATCATTCTGACCACTTAATCATTCTGCACTAGACCATTCTACACTAACCCATTCAACAACTGCCAAACATTCTCTAGTTTTTTAGGGTTTCACTGTTTCAATTTTATATTATTTATGTGTTAATCTATACTATCTTATAATACATTTGGCTAAAACTCTTAAATACTCTTAAAACTCTTAAAAACTCTTAAACCCGTTCATCCCTATCCGATTTCATCCCATATATGAATTCGTGTAACTAACTGCAGATAAACACAATCAAATACAGGATAAATATCTCATTTTAAATATAAAAAATCTAAAATATAATTAATATAATAA